AAGTTTGACTCTCTCTTCTTTGTGGCAGCCTCTGAGATATTGGAGTACTGCTATCATACTACCCCTAGTCCTTTTTTTCATATATATTAAACTAGACCTACATATCTTAATCCCACCTATGGTTAAGTTTGTAGCTTCTAAACCCTGGGCAAAGGGCTTGAAATATATTAATAGATATTGCATTGGACAGTCTCTCTTATTGCCACATAGGGAGAAATTAGAAACATTGGTGAACACCCTGACACCCTATCTATTTGCGTGCCCCAGCCAAAAGACAAAATTGTAAAATAGATAGATAGATAGATAGATAGATAGATAGATAGATAGATAGATAGATAGATAGATAGATAGATAGATAGATAGATAGATAGATAGGAATTCTGCTGGCTGTCAGCAGAATTGTAAGTGATAAATCAGACCCAGTATATGTGACTGTTGATGCTGATAGCAAGGTTTTGAATCCTGACCTTGGCAGAGTATCAGACCCTGAAACATGCTGCCTGCTAAACAGAACCAGGAATTGAAGATACATGACTCCTCAAAAGGAAAAAGTATCAATTCTCCTAAGAAGACAAAGCCTGTTCTCCAGGCTTTGTTGAAAGCAACTCTCCTGCTTTTTAATCTACTTTTCTGCATCTTTGGTTTCCACGTTCCTCTTGTTCCTTGCCTTCTGGATAGACTTTCAGCTTGATCTTGGACCAGCTTGCCTCACCAGCACTAAATCTGTTATCTGTTTTATAGGCAACTATGTTTTCTAGCTTTACGACTATATCCAGCCCATATCCATTGTTATCTGATCAAAAGCTGTTTACTGCATTAAACAGATCTCTCTTGGATTTATGACTCCTTGGAAGGGTTTATCTCTCCTCAGCTATAATGAGTAATTTACAACAAGACAAATAAAGACCACTTGCAAATTTCCTCTCTACCTACCTGCCTGCCTGCTTTCAGTCAAAGCTTTGCATAGGACAAACAGAGTGAATGCTGTTAGCAGCAAATAATAATGATGATGATGATGATGATGATGATGCTGTTGGAAGGGACCTTGGAGGTCATCTAGTCCAACCCCCTGCCCAGGAAGGAAACCCAATACCATTTCAGACAAATGGGTATCCAATCTCTTCTTAAAGACTTCCAGTGTTGGAGCATTCACGCTTCTGGAGGCAGATTGTTCCACTGATTAATTGTTCTGTCAGGAAGGTTCTGTTGCTTCTCTATTTGGTTAGTTTCCATCCATTGCTTCTTGTCTTGCCTTCGGGTGCTTTGGAGAATAGCTTGACTCCCTCCTCTTTGTGGCAACTCCTGACATATTGGAATACTACTATCATGTCCCCCCTCGTCCTCTTCATTAAACTAGACATACCCAATTCCAGCAACCGTTCCTCATATGTTTTAGCCTCCAGTCCCCTTTGTTGCTCTTCTCTTTCTAGAGTACCAACGTCTTTTTTACATCGTGGTGACCAAAACTGGATGCAGTATTCCAAGTGTGGCCTTACCAAGGCATTGTAAAGTGGCATTAACACTTCACATGATCTTGATTCTGTCCTTCTGTTAATACAGCCCAGCACTGTGTTGGCCTTTTTGGCAGCTGCAGCACATTAGATCTAAAGTATCTTCTCTCTCCTCTTTCTCCTCCTCTCATCTCATTCAGTCAAAATAAAAATTCTCAACAGAAGTAATTCTGCAATTGCTAAATGGAGAATGGAAAAATTGGAACATTTGGTACTGATATGGAGTAATTTGTAAAAATGTACTTGACCCCTTTATCAGGTAGTCCTGTATTATCAAGGATGGAAATGGACCTGCTTTAGATCACTGAAAAGGGTAAAGTTGTCTTTCTTTTCTTTAAAAGAATAGTTAATATACCAGATTCTTATTGGCCAGACAGTGCTTGCAGAACCAGTTAGAAGCAGGACATTGGGCCTAGTCGTGTTTATGGTATTTTAACATGTGTTCCTTAATAAGTACATTCCAGGTTTTAAGCGTAAACATTAAGAACTATATTGTCCATGGATAATTTTAAGAACAGGAACATAATCTTTAATATAATGTTGCTAGAATAGAATAGAATAGAATAGAATAGAATAGAATAGAATAGAATAGAATAGAATAGAATAGAATAGACAGAGTTGGAAGGGACCTTGGAGGTCTTCTAGTCCAACCCCCTGTTCAGGCAGGAAACCCTATACCATTTCAGACAAATGGCTGTCCAATCTCTTCTTAAAAACTTCCAGTGTTGGAGCATTCACAACTTCTGGAGGCAGGTTGTTCCACTGATTAATTATTCTAACTGTCAGGAAATTTCTTCTTAGTTCTAGGTAGCTTCTCCCCTTGATTAGTTTCCATCTATTGCTTCTTGTCCTGCCCTCAGGTGCTTTGGAGAATAGCTTGATTTCCTCTTCTTTGTGGCAACCCTGAGATATTGGAACATGGCTATCATGTCACCCCTCGTCCTTCTCTTCATTATAAACTATTCATTAATAGTTCTGGCTGACTGTATAGTGAATGTCTGTTTGTCTCTAGGCCTTAATGTGTCTAGAACTCCACTCTATTCATTCAATGTATCTGGATGGAAGATATGAAGGAGTAACAACAGCTAAGTGTTGGGTGCTCTATAGATGTAAGATCTAATTTATGATATTCTGATTTGCAAACTTTACATAGCATTCAGAACCTGCTTTACTGATTTAGCAAAACTAGAGTTCTAACAGCAAAATGATTTGCTTCTTGCTGGCAGAAGGTCCATAAGTAACACAGCAAACAGTGATACATGAAGAATCATGGTGGCAGTCAGCTGTGAAGGCCATTTTTCAGGAAAAAAAATATTGTACTGTTGTATTGGTTTATATTTTATCTGCTGACGGCAGTTAAATGTTAAGTGTCTTGTGTCTAGCTAGACAATCTTTCTGCTCATGCTTTTGATAAGTGATGCAGTGTTGCTAAAACCATACATCTGCAGTAAAGTCACTTACTTACAATTAGATATCAGGGAAACAGTCATATCAAGACCTCTTTTGAGAAAAGCAATTTAGGAACTAAGAACTGGAAAGAGTTAGTGCAAAGACCAGGCACATTCCTTTTCTATATTTTGCCTAAGGCAGTGGTTCTCAACCTTTTTAATGCCGTGACCCCCAACCGATCGTAAGTCGAGGACTACTCAACCGGTCGTAAGTTGAAGACTACTCAACTGGTGCAGCACCGTTTGCAGACTGGGACTTTTGGCGGGCTCAGCAGGGCAGAGACAGCCTGGACAATTCCTATTGGCTTTGAAAGCCAATAGAATTAGACTCTATTCAAGAGAGTCTATTCTATTGGCTTTCAAAAGCCAATAGAATAAAAGGGAGTAGCACAGCTAAGGAAAAGGGGGAAAAAATGGCAGACTGCGTTGTTTGGCGACCCCCGTGAAATGGTCGTTCGACCCCAAAAGGGGTCCCGACTCACAGGTTGAGAACCACTGGCCTAAGGCATACAATGATACAAAGGATGTGAAACCTGTCCACGTATTTTGTGAAATGTTTCTAATGAGAGTAAATATTTCCCAAACCAATAAAAAGAGAGGTTTTAACAATCTTGGAGGAAAGGGAGAAATATCCCCCTAGATAGCTATATAGAGACATATTGTATGTATATAAGCACATGTCTGTTCATGATCAGGTCTTTGTTCAGGTTAGCATCATATATAGCAAATTACCGTGGCCAAATGTAGAAGTTGTAAAAATAGCACATAGTGGCTCTTCAGAAAAACTCATAGAAGACGAATGTTTTACAAATGTCTTCTAGCCAAGGTTTAACTAGTATCTAGAAGAGCCAAATCTAAGAAAAAATATAAGCATCCATTCATCATGGGCATAGCAATTCTCTCTTAATTGCTTATAATTCAAAACAGTATAATCTCTAATTTATGGATTTAAATTTGATTTGTTCAATTCTGTCAACATAGCTATAGCATTCAGAAAACTGTTCAGGACTGAAATGGCACTTTCAGGTACTGCAAGCAAAGACAGAGCTTGATATCATCAGCAAATTATTTCACCCTTTAATTTTTTTTGATAACAACCAGTTTGGTAGAAAGGTCAAGGCTTCAGGCTAGAAAAACAAGGAGATGGTGAGTTCCAGGCCTGCCTTAGGCACAAAGCCAACTGGGTGATCCTAAACTTGTCACTCTTTCTCAAACTTAGGAAGGAGGCAATGGCAACACATTTCAGAAATCTTGCCATGAAAACTGCCAGGACATGTCAAGGCTCACTCAAAGGCATCAAATAAAAGATTTTAAAAATGATAGTTTTAACTGCAAATGAAACAATGTTGGTATTAAACAACACCATAGATCACGGGGGTCAAACTCGCCATGTCACGTGACCTGTTGCGATGTATCGTGACTTTTTTGCATTTTATTGGTATGATGCAACCGGCCCATGCACCGGTAGTTTGACACCCCTGCCTTAGATTATTCTTTATACCAGTCTCCTTGGGATTCCATTACACACTTTAACTGCTACTAGTCTAGCTTAGTTTCTGTAATTGATTCCGTGTGTGATGAAAGAGAAAGAAATAGCTGATTAGAGAGCCATTGCTAAACAGTGCCGAAATTATATAGTTTTCTCAGCTCAAAAGTCTTGGAGATTCTTGGCAAGATTGACCTGGAAGTATTTTCACAATCACTATATATTCAGAACAGAACTCGGGATAAAAAAAGATTTAGATCATGTTATCCTTGAACACTGAAACGGTTTTGATACCAACCCCCCCTCTTTGCCATGTCTCAAAGTGCAAACATAAATTATCCTAGTTCCTGTGGCCATTTTCTAGGTCTATTGAATCTGGGATGCTTATGGATTTCAGTCCTCAGATATCCACATGCTGTTTATTTCATATGCTTAAAATGGAATCCCCAGCAGTGTCTGAGACCACAAAGTTCCCAAACCTGAAAGAAAACACATTGCAGCGGTACAAAGGTATTCGCAGTTACAGTAAAATACACAGAACTTTCACACATTTACCTGTGCTACTTCTTCAAAATCATCATGCCTTTTCTGAAGAGCTCGTGCTCTGTGAAGAGACTTTCCCACTCCAGTGTGTTTACTAAGAAAGGCCTCCCCATGGTTTTCAATCCAGTCCAGGACCTGAACAACAAAGACATGAGGGAGAAGGAGAGGGAGGGGGAGGAGGAGAAGAAGGAGGAGGAGGAGGAGGAGGAGGAGGAAGAGAAGAAGAATCTATTATTTTATTATTCTTGATTGTTCAGCACACAGCATTTCATCTTGAACACCACTTATAAACTACAGTTTCAGAATGAATTGACAACAGTTAGAAAAATTGTCTATATTTACATTCTAGACTCTTCATCGTTGCATGCAATCAAATCTAATTTTTTTTTCATTCTTCATTGATAAAGTATCATCCCTGAATTCCAGCCATCTGCTGATTTCTGGATAACCGTCCCAGACTTTGAAAGAAAAACAAACTTGCACTTTTTTTTACTGGAATGTAAAAAACAAAATACCAATAAATAAATTAATGAACACTCTTGCCTTATTTTCCTGTGTAAATACAACTCATGTCTTAGATACGTATTGACTTAGTTCACATGGGCACGAGCATGCTGTCCAATAGCAAAATACCTAAACTCAGAACTGGAAGGACAGGTACTAAATGTAAGTTGTGGAATTGGGTATGTGTTAGTTGAACAGTGCTATGGTTGATAATACTACCTAGGCATTATGATATATTTATACAAATAGTATCAGAATTCAATGTATTTCTATAAGTGTTTAGAAAAAAACCCGAAAGTAGCAAATCTATCACCAAACTTTCAAATTTTTTTCAAAATTATATACGTTTTCAAATTGTAAAATCATTTACAGCCTAAATGTTGGAGATGTGGAAACCTACATGCAACCTATTTCCACATTTGATGGACTTGTAGAGATATTAAAGCTTTTTGGATTAAGATTTGGTGGGATACTCAAAAGATTTTTAAGAAAAAGATTAAGTTTACTCCGCAATTATTTTTGTTGGGTATTACTGTAGATTTTGATGGTAAAGAAACTAATTTGATGTTGAACCTTATAACAGCTGCAAGATTATTGGTGGGGCAATATTGGAAGAAAGATTTGTTGCCTACTTTGGAAGAATGGATACTTAAAGTGTCTAATTTAGCAGATATGGCGAAGATCTCTGCCTATTTGAAGTACCATTCACAAGAAAGATATATTATGGTTTGGAGAAGATGGATTGATTATATTCAGAAGAAATATGAAATTGAAAAGTATTATCTTGCTTTTGAGTAGATTTTAGATAATTATTAATAGTTTTAATTATATTATTATTTTTGACTTAATTTGTTAATATTTGTATTGAGAAGGAGTTAAAGTGTGTTATGGTTTTGATTTATTTATTTATTTATTTATGAGACTTATATACCACTTTAAGTGCAAGCACTCTCTAAGCGGTGTACACCAGTAAGCAATGTATATATATATATTTACATTGCCCCCAACAATCTGGGTCCTCATTTTACCTACCTCGGAAGGATGGAAGGCTGAGTCAACCTTGAGCCTGTGAGATTTGAACCGCTGACCTGCTGAACACAGTCAGCTAAAGTGGCCTGCAGTACTGCACTCTAACTGCTGCGCCACCTCGGTTCTGATTGATAATATAGTTGGTTTATGTTAGTTGGATTATATTTGTTTATCATTTTGTTTTACCCTGTAATCATCTCTGGGAAGAGGGGGAGGGGAGATGGGGTGGAGGGGTTTATATTGTAATAAATTTATAAAACTTTTAATAAAAAATAATGTTTCATATATTTACATTTTTAAAAGGGTTAATATAGGCATGTCATAAATGCAAATGATACAAAACAAAATGAACATACATTGCTGTATCAGAAAACCACAGTATTCTATATTGACAATTATTCCCAAGAAATATTACCAAGAGCTGGGTGGGTCCAAACAGAGATGCTCAGAAATGTGCTCACCTGTGTTTTGAGGTGGGCAGGAGCCATGAGCCTGGCAGGTGTTGGGTGGCTACTGACGATATCAATATCCCTGCCTGAGCTAGTGTACTTCAGCACTATAACAGTGAATAGCAGTGCATGTAAGATTTCAACATTTATTGAATAATGTCTTCTAATTATCAATATTAAAATAAATCCATCCAGCTTTTTTCAAGCAAAATACTTTTAGGATATTTTGAGAAAGGCAGGAGACTATAGATATATTTTATCGAACAAATTTATTTTATTTTTTTTAAAGCTGTTATATTTGTTTAAAGTATTACAATGCAATGTGTGTGTGTGTCAATGTAGTACTAAAACATAAAAAATATAATAGTTAATAATGCTCTGATCTCTTACATCTTTGTTGGATAATAGAAAAACAAAGAAACTCCAGACATTTTCCTTTCAGAAAACATTGTCACATTTCCAGTATTTCAGGGACTGCCACAAAGAAGAGGGTTACGTTATTCACCAAAGCACCAGAGGGCAGGACAAGAAACAATGGTTGGAAACTGAACAAAGAGAGAACTAACCTGGAATTAAGGAGAAACATCCCGACAGTTAGAACAGTTAACCAATGGATCAGCTTGCCTCCACAAATCATGGGCACTCATCATTGGAGATTTTTAAAAAGAGGCTAACAGTCACTTGTCTGAAATGGTATAGGTTTTCCTGCTTGAGCAGGGGGCTGGACCAGAAGACCTCCAATGTCCTTTCCAGTTCTATTCTATTCTATTCTATTCTATTCTATTCTATTCTATTCTATTCTATTCTATTCTATTCTATTCTATTCTATTCTATTCTATTCTTTCCTATTCCTATTCCTGAGACAGTAAACTGCAATGAAATGTGAGGTTCGTGTTATCCATCTTAGAGCCAGTATTTGAATATGGATTGCAACAGAAAGGATGATTTCATAGTTTTTGACTAGCTCTGTTGACATTCTATTGATATATTCCTTAGCATCATACCTGTCATTGGGGAGTCTTTTGCCTTGCATTACAATTCTAAAACTGAAAATTGGGAGGCCATATTACTTGAAAGGGATTAAAAACTGTTCAATAAGACTAGAGAGGAGGCAAGAGAGAAGTTAAGACTAGAGAGGAGGCAAGAGAGAAGTTCCCTGAAGATGGGCTCCAGCACCAGTTGGAAAGCTTGGAAGACGAAACCTCTGGTCTGGGTGACCGACCCAGATTGGATCCTGCAACATTATCCTGGGACACGTATATTCGCCTTCATTCGTGACTGCTCAGTAAATTCACATACTCATAAAGAGGAAACCATTACGTCTTATTTATGTCATGCATTCAATTTTAAGTCTGAAGAAGAAAGATAAGCAGCCTGAGCTTCTGTCTGAAAATTTCATCTAGATCCCTGATCCTGATCCAAAGCCAGAAGACATTCAAAGTTTAAAACTCTTCAGGTTCCTACCACCTAGTGCCTATTGTGCCATTACTTCTACTTTGCCATGAAATGCACCAAGCAGTAAGGATCATTTATTTCTATATACAGGTAAGCTGCCTGGTTTGCAGCAAATGAATTAAAAGAACAGAACTCTTACAAAGCTTATTGAAGGAAAATGCTTCCTCCATAGCTACCCTTGGTACTGCAGCTATTTGTTGTATTTGGAAACTAGGTACACAAAGACAATGTTCCTAAGAAAATTGCACACCACTTGGTGTACTGTTCTTTGAATGAAAGACACATCCCACATATCTACTGTTAGAAAACACATTTATAACCAGAATATGATTTTCTATTGAATTCATATTTTGGATTTCAAAGGAAATCCTGTAGCTCAGGATTGAACTAAATTCTTGGCGAGTTCTTGCTGAACTGAGTTGAACTGTGGGTTGAACTGAGTTAACAGAATGTAAACTTGTGTAAGAGCTTACTTTTCTCCACACTGAATTTCATTTTGTTGGATAGCGCCCAGTGTTCAAGTCTGTCGAGGTCCATCTGGATCTTAAGCCTATCATCTGAGATGTTGGCTATTCCTGCTAGCTTAGTGTTGTCTGCAATTTCCTTTCTATTCCCTCATCTAAATCATTTATGAAGATATTGAAGAGTTCTGGGCCTAAAATGGAACCTTGGGGTACCTCATGCTTATTCCTTCCATGTAGATGTAGTTCCATTGAGGACTGCACATTGAGTATGATTTGTCAGCCAGTTACAAATCCATTTGATGTTGATGCTGTCTATCCCACGCTTTTCTAGCTTACCAAGAAGTAGGTTGTGGTCTACTTTGTCAAACGTTTTACTGAAATCCAAGTATACTAATTTTTATTTGAAGGGGGATTTTTATTGCCTTAAAATTTAGGTGAACCCTAATTTTGATGGACTTATTGGCGAAGGTGTTCTGCTATTCCAGGTCTTCTTAGGATCCATCTCACCCCAATGAGACTATCTTGGCCTATTAGTTCCAGCAGAAGAGGCCTACTCTGGAATCCTTCTGCCAAAGAATTTTGGCTGTTGGGTCCTGGAGAAGAGCCTTTTCTGCTATGCCCCCTCCCTCTGGAATATTATTCTGCTGGCAGTTAGTATGTGATTTGTTGTGAGGAATGAATCAATGTTGAAGGAAGTGAAAGTGTCTGTGTGTAAGACAGTGTTTCTCAACCTTGACAATTTTAAGGCATGTGGACTTCAACTCCCAGAATTCCATAGCCAGCAACGTTGGCTGTGGAATTCTGGGAGTTGAAGTCCACATGCCTTAAAATTGTCAAGGTTGAGAAACACTGGTGTAAGAGGTATTTCTGCTTACTTTGTATCAGTAAAAGCATAACAGTAAGTTAAATGCAACAAGAACAAATTTCTTGAAAGCATTTCTGGATCAAGAATGAATGACTGCTGAATGAATGTGAATAAAACAAATGGCGAGGTACAGTGATTGCTATTGATATAAACTAGATTTAGTTACAGGATCCAGTTTAGGTCAGTCAGTCTGGATTTAGTTAGAATTCTTTATTTTTTTTTCCTTATCCCCGTCTTTAGTTTCTTTTGCCCATTTCTTCTCACTTCTTTTCTGCAATTTATATAACAATGCTCACTCTTAAAAAAGGAATAGATGTGATGGATGTATTTTGTGTGTACAACAGTCACTTTGTGCGTGTGTGTGACTTT